GTAGTGGATGAATGAATAGATATGTAGCAGGAAGAAGTAGAAAATCAGAAACAACTAATTAAACTAGTTGAATATAAAGATTAATACACACTAAAATTGAAAGATAAACTATAATCGATATATATACATGCGATGAAAATAAATAAAGATATAATTACAAAGTGAATTACGCGAACATCAAACTATATTGCAAGCAAAGCTTTAAAATGTAAGATGTGATAAATATATAAACACATAATAGGTGATAGTAGCAAAGTGGATTGCTAAACGAGATCATATGAATACGAAATTATATTTCAAAAGAAAACTAAGTATACACTGGATCATAGATATATAAACATATTACATAAATGAAGAAGAGAGGAAGCGAAATAAACTGAACGCAAATCTGAAATGTCATTCTAAGGAAAATTAGAGGACATTTAGGAAGTAGAAAGAGAACTTAATATCCAAAATAACTGAAGATAATACATGTACTTATCAAGCATGAAGCTATAAATCTAGAACTGGTTATAAGATGTCAGTTGCCTACAAATTCTAGATAATTTGGACTAGGTTACAATAAGAAACTGTTAGAAAATAATTAGCGGCGATTATTATGGAACTACTTAGTTATGAAATAAAAAAAAGGGAATGGAGATAGTATGTTAAACGATAGCACTAGCAATAAATGAGTATATAATTAGTACCACTGAGAACGTCAGCAATTCGATATTTTTTTTTTTTAATCAAATTTAATTACATAGAAAGTATTTAACAAGTGAACGTATTTTGCTGTGATGTCGCAAGCTTATTACATTTTAAACTGCATTATTCTATTCTTTGCGATTCATGAAGTTAACTTCATAATGCGCATTGGTTATTTTTTCTTTAGTTAAATGATCTTTTACGTGATAGTTCAATAGAATTCAATAAAAATATATATGAATAGAGATCTAATGGTCAGTTCGCTATTGGTTCGTGGTGAATACCTATCGTCATACTGTATAACATAGTATACATACGTACAATGAAAAAAAATAGATGTATATGTATGCATTCAACGTTTCTTTTGTTTCTTGCCACGTCTGACATAATAGACACTCACTTATGTATAGTCAACTTATTATATTAGACTACTTACCTAAACGTAAATAACGGCGGTCGATGTTATTACAATTATATTCATTTGTTTTACTTATATTATCTTATTTTCCATTGTACTTTGCTTTCCCTGGATGTCTTCTTCGTAGTATATAAGAAGAGCAGTATTTTAGAAATTTCAGTTCATTTTTTGATTTTTATTTCGTGTATGTTGTACTTCATTTAGTTTTATATTATTTTCTCTATTTTAGATTATCTTGTTGGATTTAATTGTTTCCACAACTTCATTTAGAAAAGATTTCGTATTGATTTGCTTTACATTAATATCATATTATCAAGTGATCTAAATTTTTTTTTTTAATGAAACGAAATATTCAAAATGAAAAAGATGTTCAAGCATCTCAAACGAAACGTATTCGAGGAGATACATCAATGCGACAAAAGGAGAATAATTTTGATAATGGGATTGCAAGTCAAAAGAGATCGTCAAAAAAAGATACTCAACATATGAAGGATAACCAATTCGGTAGTGAATCTGATCATGAGAATGGTAATAATATTACCACATCTACACCGACTACATCTGGTACTTCATTTTCGTCATCATCTAAACGTTTACCATTATCACAAAGACCATCAACACAAGCGAATCAAAAAATAACAACTGAACATAATGCAAGTCAGTTGATAACATTATCAGATAGTACTAATTGTTCTATCGGTTCACGAACTAGGTAAACAATTGTCATTCAACTAATACAAACATGTATTATTCTTTTAGTTCATCGAAAACAACATTGTCTAAAGGAAGTACAAAGTATGTATTTTGAATGTACCGTTTCTTTTTTTACCAAGTTTTTTTTAACAGAGCAAATTCAACAAGTATCAAACCAATCGATAATACTGATCGAAATGCATCACATTCAAATTCACAGTTTGTATTTCTCATTGCAGTATATTAGTGAATTTCTTCTTCACTGTAGAGTTCGATCATCATCTGCATCAATAAATAAAAATCCAATAATTAACACACAAAAGTAATAATAACACTTTTATTTGACTTATATTGGAAGATCCACATTACTTTGAATAGTTTTACCACAAGCTCCACCTTCAATGATCGTGCAACAAGTCAACGATCATCCAGTTCTTCATCATTTCTTGATCTGAATAATTCAAGATCAAACGATTTTCCAACTCATTCGTTAATAGAAGGTTCAATTGAATATAGAGAGTTGAAAAGAATGTATGCACGTGAACAAAGCTTGGTAGACGAGTGGCGGAAGGATTATCAAGTTCTTAAAACACAATTGAATTATTTAAAGTCCAACACGATTCGTATGTTGAATGTTATCTTTATTTTTCGATAAAAGACTTGTATCTTTAATCAGATCTAAAGTACTTACTGAACTTAGTTATGAATTTTTGTTCCTTTGAAGACTTTGATATATTCACTTTTTACTTATTTAATTAAAGACTTTGTTTCATAAGGTTAAACTTTTTATTTTTCTACAGTTATTTAACCACTATGTCGATATATAGAAAATCAAACTTGTTAAGAACTCATATCGACGGATATCAAGGTTTTATGAATCTTTTCCTAAAAATTGTATCGATATATTTGTTATTACTGATTTCTTAAATAAAATATTATAATTAAAACATTCTTTTTAATTAAGCACGACCAACTGCCGCCGTAACTGAGTGGCTCGAGGAGCTATTCCATTTAATGAAAGACAATAAAGCTTTTCCAGGTGATGGAAGAAATTTGAAATCAATTGGGGAAGATTTAGGGCTAGAACCTGAAAATCTTGTTACTGTGGCAGCGCGGACTCCACAGAAGTCCGCGCTGAAGCTCTTCCGTTTATTATATCCAACAATCGGCAACAGAGCAGCTTGCGTGTCTATTTCAAAGCTCCCAAAAGAACAATTACAAAATATATATAGTGAGATTTTTAGTCATCATATAATTATCTTTTCACTTTCTAATTTAGTTTACGTACGTACACTTCATCCAAATCTTACTTTCCACATGACTGATATGAAAAATGCTATTGGTACATCGATACGAAGCGCACGAAGTGAATTACGGAGAAGTGAACGTTATCAACTACAACATATAAACGTGATAGAACACGATGAAAGAATTGATGCTGCTTCAGATGATGATAATAATGAAAATGAAGATGGAGACAATGATGATGAAGAGAAAGAAAATGATGATGACGATGACAATCAGGAAGATGATAGTGATGTTGATAATATGATTGTCGATGATGAAATTGATGAAGCAGAAGATGATAATTAATAAAGATTATATAATTAATATAACTTATGCATGAATAAGACATAAAAGTTATTTTTTT